GCTCGTTTCCACAGGCGAACTTCGATCTACATCGCCTTCCGGCACATATGGTTCGGACGCAAGTAACGGAACGACCACTGGCAACTCAGGCTGCCCGCGCTGCTGGACATCCTCGACATCAACATCTCTACAAAGGACAACAAAGTACTCGAGATCAAAATGCCAAACAAAGCTAAGGCAATGACCGCACACACTAGGGCGGTTGGGACCAATAAAAGTTTTACAAGGCATGACTAAAGAGTACAAGAGAGCTAAGACCCTACTCTTCAAAAAGCGGGAGGACGGACTCCCCCAGATCGTCGACCTCCTCCATCACATCCTTGCGCGCGTCGCTAGCCGCCCCCTGATCCAAGATCTTCCGCAGATCGAGTTCAGGGTGCGCAAGCCTTACACACGCAAGGACGTGGCACGCCCCGGTGTAGATCCCGTTAGACGTCTCCTCTCCGATCCTGGCCGCATGCTTGGAGGGGACCTCCTCCGTCGCCATCACCAGCTCCGCAAGAGAAGACGTCAGCGAGAACTCATCGGGATTCGCCGGGATGGTGGACTTGATACCGCACTCCCCGGCGAGCTGGTGCAGACCAGTATAGGTGACCCGCAACGAGCCACGGATTTCCAACAAGTTGTTCTCAAGCTCTGACATGCGGTGCTCGAGCCCCTGCCGTTATCGCTCGTTGCCGGGCACCAGTTCCCTCATCTTCTGGAGGTCCTCGCGAACCTCCGCCAGATCGCGCGCCAGTCGATTGGCGCGCTCGTTCGCCGACAACGCAGCCGCCGCCCTCGCCTCCGCGATCTCGAGGCTAACACCGCGAACACCAGCCTCGAGGAGGCGCCCCATCTCAACCTGGAGCTCCTCCCAGGTGAGGACGGCAGCCGGCGAACCACGACCAGCCACGAGATCGCTGGCTGGGCCACTAGGTGTCGCCTCACGGCTCCTGGGCACGACCACGACATCCGTCGAGGCCACGGCAGGAGATGCGCTGGAGGTCCCTCCAGACCCATCTTGCGCCGCCTTTGCTCGCACCGCCCTGCGAAAGGCTACGATTGAGACAGAGTTCGACGAAATCACGAAACCTCAAATTTATTCACTTACTTCTCGCTGAGCGTCACAAGCCGCTGCTGTCGCGGAGGCGGGAGAGACGCGTCCGAGGCCTGGAGTACAATCGATATGATGTGAGGTGGAAGTTTTCCGACTAGGTGATCAAATAACGGGAGAACTTACCGAGGGAGTGGGTGTCTTCCGACGATGTCCGACTACAGAGGAGAACTTCCTCCCCTTTTTCGGAACGTCGCCGCCACTCGTCGTGGCAGCGGCAACAGCAGCGTCAGACGCCTCCTTGGCGACCTTCTCCTTCAGCGACGCCGCCACCTGATGGTCCACGAGCGGCCCGATGATATCAGTCAGAGGGAGAGCCTACGTTTCATAAAGTCATAATGCGATCCCGGAAGAAAAATGCAAAAGGACAGCTAAGTACACTTACATTGATGGCAGCGTCGTGCTCGGTTGCCCCTTTCTCGCAAAGGGGGACGGGGACGTTGCTCGCCGTTGTCGGGCCGCTGATCATCAGTTGGCCGACGCGGCGCTCCACGGTTGCGCTATTCAAGCCTGTAGATCGAGAACAGAACCCGATAAGCCGGGAAGAACACGCGCATAAGAGAGTCAATTTAACTAAAAAGGAAATACCCCGAGGAGAAACCCGGGTCGCGTCCTCTGGCCCAGAATAATCAAAGGCGGGATGGGCTCGAGCCTGAAGCGGTTGGATCCGCCTACCAATGAAGTCGGCAGCAACTTCATACCCCGACAACCCCCGTTCTCGGAGGTCGTCAACGATATCGATGAAAGATTGGAGGGACGGGGTCAAGGCGGGTTTGGTGGTCCAAGATGGAATCTTGTCTGGCTGTTCCTCAGGTAAAATGAAGACAGGATCCGAATCCTCTATCTGAAGACAGAACCACCTCCCCCGCCATTTGCTGCGAGATGAGGGGCACTGAAAGGGGATGTATCGCGACTTCAGGCCATCCCGAAGTCGGAAACCAACACACCCGGACACCTTTTTGGATTCCATCCAGCGTAACTCATAGTAAAAGCGGAAGAGGTCAAGAAACGGCTCCACCCTAATGTAGGCCTCACAAAGATGCGTAAAAATACTCAGGAAGGCGATGGAGTTGGGGTTCAAATGGAGCAAGGAAAGACCATAGAAATTCAAGACCAAAAGGAGAAATTCAGAAGGCGGAAGAAGAAAACCACAGAGAATAAAGTCCTCAACCGCAACCATGCGACCCAGGACAGGCTGGGGTTTAGTACCTCCTACTTCCCTCTCCGCGGCCCCGCGACCGGGAAGGGCGCCATCCTCCTGCAGTTTCTTCAGTGATGCACTGGTGGAGGTAGACTTGTCGAGATCCATGGCCACCGGAGATCGCCGGAGAAAGGACCGAGACGAGTTGGCTATGGTTTTTTTGCAGGAGCGAAGAAGACGAGGGACGCTTGGAAGCTGGAGAGTTTTTTGAATAGGCTGACCTCAAATGGGATCCCCAAAACTCCCTTAAATAGACGCACCTCCGCCGGTGCGAATTCCCAGGAAAGGAGAGAGATGGCCGCCGGAAATTTTTAGGTCCGTTACGCGCGGCAGTTTTTCGGACTTCAATTTAAATTCACTCATGACCGTTGAGCTTCACTCGACGTTGTCGATCACTCCTTGTCTCTTGGTCCCCACACCGAGAACAACGACAATTTTGACATCAGAAGTCGCAATCGATTTCACGAGTTCATTTAAGCAGAAGTCGGGGGCTACTGTCAGGGTTACGGGTAAGGTATACCCTCTACCCTTCGATATACGTCACGTATCGATATGGTATGTTTGTGTGTATACGGACGTTCTCAGCATAGGTTAAGGAAGTCCATCATGGAGTCTACAGATGGAAAGAGTCCTACTCGGATAGAACTGGGTCGTCATTATATCGTGTCGGGTCCAATGTCTCTGAGTCTTACTTAGAGACCAGCTGACCTACGGTAAAAAAAGGGACCCCCCGAGAGGACCTAAGGCATCGAATCTCAGAGCCAACACATCCACCACAGCCTACGAAGCCGGAGCTTATCGAAGCCAAGTCGCCGGGAGATCTAGTCGGATCAACTCAACTACGATCTTGTCGGTATCGTCGAGCTTCATTATTCCCTTTGTAATCTGTGGTTTCCATCATATAATCGCATATCAACTGGATTAGGGCTATTACCTACCAAGGGGCCTGAACCAGTATAATCCATGTTTCCTGTTTGCTTGATGTCGTACTATGTAGATCCTCGTACCAGCATACCCCAATACTCTCTATATCCGGTCTACGGGTATCCACCGTCGACAGTTTTGGAAATGGTGCTTAGAGGAATCCAGGGATGAAGCCCAGTAGAAGCCCGTGGGTGCAGATGAACCCCCCAAAAAATATCTTTTAGTTATTACCCCCATATCTCGGCCCTATATGCACCCCCCTCAGCCCAATATAGTGCACCCACAGCCCAAACAGCAGTCCAGTTAACGTGGTAAGCCCATGAGCAGGCCAGTAGGGTGGAAGCCAGATCGATGTTTTCTCCTCTCGACTTCTTGTATCGTGTGCCGCGCCGCCGCCAGTCTTGACAACTCCGCCTCGCGTCTGTTTGGCTTCCACACCGCTGCTCTCAATCAGCCAATCCCAGTCAGCACTTGCCCATCTCGGCATCTCACCGTCGCCGGTCGCCCTCTTCTCAGTTGGCGACCGCCGCGGGCAGGAAGCCGACAGCTAGGCAACCAGGAGCTAGCGTCACAAGCCAACAACGACATCAGTCCATCTCCACCAACTGATCAGCACACAACCACACTGTGCGTTAGTAGAGCCAAGGTAAGAAAACATGCTTCATCTATTTCTTTTTCAATCAATTTGATTTATTAGATACGAAGCCCTAAAATTTTTATTGGTTGTTAATTTTTATATTGTAGGATTAGGAGGCCACCAAGCTTCAATTTGGGGTCCTTCAGAATCGGAGTAAGATTGCAGATTGGAGGAAAAATTTGAGAATTTGAATTGAAGGTGCAATTTGGATGTAAGTCATGTCAATTTTCATTCTATTTCTTTAGTTGAATGAATGATAAAATCTCTACACATTTACATCTTCATGAATCATCTTTTGCTCATGGGTCAGTAGCCATTTATCAATGTTATTAGTGGTTTTCTTCATTTTAAAAAAACAATGTTTTCCACTTCTTTATTTTATTGATGCATGTATGTCTCTATTGTTGATGTCAAAAATTTATCGATCAGCGGTTGCATTGAAAATTTAGCTTGAAGTTATATATATATATATATTGATATACTTGTGGTACAATCATGAACCCCTCCATTTCGCTCTAGCTTCGCCCTTAGAGGAATCCATGCATTTGGGTGCTATAAGAGCAAGTTCAGCAGTATAGTTAATTGCTAGCTATAAAGATTAATAAATCACTTACATCTAATCTATAGCGAACTCATATAATATATCGCTTTAGATATATATATTCCATACAACATTATTAATTAATACATATCCCACGTCTTTTTCATATAGATTATTGGAGCACATTCTACGATTGGCCAAATCTATAGCCCACTTTTTTTTCTTTCTCCTCTCTCCTCCACCTTAAACATAAATCTATTTGCCATCAAGATCAACGAGTTTATGCGTACTAGCTAGAATTATTATCTTTTTTGTCTTTGTATGTTTTTGGAATTAATATATCAGATACCAATTTTTGTTACCATTTAAAAAAATCAAAATTATTTTGATTATATATATATATATATATGAGTAAAATACACGGCCGGTCCTTAAAGTTGAGTGCGGGTGTCACTTAGGTCTATAATCTTGTAAATTGCACATCTAGATCCACAATCTTATTTAAGTGACTCATTGAGGACCAAAGGATCTCTGACCAGGTTGACTGGCTTATGTGGCGGTCCAGCGTTGCAAAATATTTACATTTTGCCCCCTATTTTGCTTCCCGTCTTCCTAAATCTCTCTCTCTCTCGGACACAGGTCGGCAGGTGCGCACGGCGAGGCGTTGGTGGCGAGCGGCGAACGCCGACATGGAGGGGCGGGCGGCAGATGGTGGCGCACGGGGCGGGCCCCGCTGCCCTCCCGCGCGGCGTCGCCGACTTTGCCCTTCCGCTCCGAGAGCAGAGGAGGAGGTAGTGCGAGCGGCCGGCGGGGGAGGCGGGCTTGCTCGGGCGCCGGTGGCGCGCTCGTGTAGCCGGCAGCGGAGGCGGACGTGAAGGCGGGTAGCGGCGCGCGGGGACGGGCCAACAGTCGGCGCGCACGACGGCAGACATGGCGGAGAGACGGAAGTGTCGGCGAGGCGGGCGTGGCGGAGAGGCGGGTGGCGGTGTCCACTCGATGGGGAAGAGCGGCTCGTGCAACACCCCGCGCACGTCGCCGGCGCCTCCTCTCTCGCCGCTCTCCACCCCTGAGCCAAAGAAACCGAGAGGGAGAGCTCCATCGTGTCCTCCTCGCCTTCCACTCCATCGTCGGCCGCCGAGAAGGATGCATTGCCGATTGTCGTCAAGCCGCGCTCGCCATTATCTCTTTCCTGTTCCATATTCTACTCACCATTCCGAAGATTTCTCCTTTTGATTTCATCCTCTATCGTGCAGCAAATCAATGGGAACGCCACTGTGTCATCGCCGGCCTTGGGACGTGCTCTGCGCGACGTCGTCGTGATCTCATCGCCGTTCCCGTCGTTCTGGACCAAGTCAAGCCGAGCCACCACGCCACTAGTATCCCCACACCATCACGACCAAAACCCCTCAAGAACCGTGGAGAATGAAGCATCATGGACGGAGATCGGCATCATCTTCTCCAACTCTGACTGCCGGCTACCATCGTTGATTCCGCCTCCTCTGGTGAGCCATTGTCCGATTCCTCGCGCATACACCATACCTGTCACCTCACTAACCTCGTGGACGTCATGCTAGATCTTGGAGCCGTTTGAGCTGTCACCGTCATCCCGGAGGTTCTTACCGCCGCCGCCAATGTCCATCCATCGCCAAGTCCTCGTCGGGCCTCTCCAAGCCACAGTCAATCTTCAGTGAGCCTCCTGGTAAATAATAGAACCACATGCATGCACGCATTTAAGCAATACATGGTCGTAGGCGCACATGCACCACCACCCGAAAACGTCTTCCGCTCGGACTCGCCGCCGGCGCTACTCCGATGTCCACTAACCGAGAAAAGTAGAGGAATGGAATCACAGTAACATGCTCTTCATTTTGTCTTTTGGTCGCACCCCGAAACGAGCCACCTATCGCCGCCGGCGAGCTCGCCAAGCTCACGGCCTCGAGGTGCTGGTAGAGCGCGGCGACGAGGAAGAGCGCGAGCGGTGAACTCGGTGAGTGCATACGCCGGCGACGGCGAGGACGGCGCACGGCGGAGCTCCTCCACAGTCGGAGCCAGAGCTCCCGGATCCGCGCGGCGACGCAGTGGCGCTTGGCGAGGCGCCACATTCGGAGCCAGAGCGGCGCGCAGGCGCAGTTGCTGCTGCAGGGGCGGGACGACGATGCTACTATTGCGGAGGGGCTTGTTTGTAAATTGGTGCTTGCGTGGCGTGTCACGTTGGCGGTCAGACCTGGTCAGAGGTCCTTTAGAGCTCAATGAGTCACTTAAACAAGATAGTGGATCTAAATGTACTCGTGCTTTTATATATATATATATATATATATATATATATATATATATATATATATATATATATATATAGCACACTCATATGGGGCACCATGGTGCCCGGGCACCATGGTTTCAAATGCACAAAATCACTTAAATTTTTCAAAATTTTCAAATTGTGAGTATATACCTAGTTATAAGAATTCGATTCATACCTATACCTATCAACAAAACAACTCAAATTTAACTTTATTTCACAATCCATGATTACATACCTAACTAATTATATGTATGGATGCTATATACCTAGAATCAAAATCTAACAAAAACAAGTTCAAATTCAGTTCAAACTTGCTTTCAACTAGTTAGTAAAGTAGTTAATATTAATACCTAAATAATTGAAAAAGTTTCATGCTCATTTGAATTGGGTATATACTCAATTTCAACAATGGTGCCCGGGCACCATGGAGCACCAAACAAATTTAATATATAGGACACTCATATGGGGCACCATGGTGCCCGGGCACCATGGTATCTAATGCACAAAATCACTCAAATTTTTCAAAATTTTCAAATTGTGAGTATATACCTAGTTATAATAATTTGATTCATACCTATACTTATCAACAAAACAACTCAAATTTAACTTTATTTCACAATCCATGATTACATACCTAACTAATTATATGTATGGATGCTATATACCTAGAATCAAAATCTAACAAAAACAAGTTCAAATTCAGTTCAAACTTGCTTTAAACTAGTTAGTAAAGTAGTTAATGTTAATACCTAAGTAATTGAAAAAGTTTCATACTCATTTGGATTGGGTATATACTCAATTTCAACAATGGTGCCCGGGCACCATGGAGCACCAAACAAATTTAATATATATATATATATATATATATATATATATATATATATATATATATATATATATATATATATATAAGAGGGATGTCCTTAAGTGGCATAGAAAGAAAACATCTCCCTAGAAATATGCCATGCACATGTTTAGAAATCTGGACTTGTTGTCACTCTTAAATTAACACGAGTTAATTTGCAGATGAAACCTATACCAAGCAGTACGTATTGAAAAGGACATCGATCGATGGATCAAACAGTTGGAACATGCATGCTACTAACATTCAGGAAAGTCAGAACGTCTAGAAGCGAAGAAGCGAAGAGATCGAGATCGTTGGCGAGCGGAAAAAACAATTCAATTAATGGTGAAGGAATTAATGTGACACTGACACACGTCATGTAGGATATGTTAGTTCTCATCTTCTAGACATGTGGAGGAATTTACGTAATATGGTCATATTTAGTCCGTTAAAAAAAATTAACCTCGACGTAGAAGTATTCTCTTCTAATACAATAAATATATATATGATCCTATCTTAAACCGCTTTCACAAAATGAAATATGTATTATTATATAATTAATTAAGTATCAACTATTTTTTTAGAAATAGCTTCGTATGATTTTATAAAATAACTTTCATATAGAATATTTTTAAAAAAACACACCACGCGTGAAAAATAAGAGAGATGATGAGTTGGAAAAATAGAGGGAAGAATATATACAGCCATATGTAGTCATATCTTTTTTAGGTTAAGTTTTTCTGAGACTCAGAGATTACCTCGGTAGCACCATCATCGAAACCACCACCGCTATTTGGTTGCTTTTGTTGGAATTAATAGATGGGCTAAAACCATTCGAAGATTAATTCTTTGGAAAATCACAAAAGCCCACCTCATGAGATGGCATGCATGTGGAGTTTAGTACTACCTTGTTTATTCCAGGAGAGGGGGACCTCCTTAAAAGGGAGGATGCCCTCCTAGCCACTTGAAACATGTGTGGTGGAGAGAAGAGGGGAAACACGCGCACTCGCTGGCCTGGCCTGGCCAGGCAGGGCAGGCGGCGCGCGTGCACGACGTACGCGTCGAATGGTCCGCAAAATTGGCTCCTCACCCTTGCGCAGATGCAGCCTCCTTTTGCAGTTTTGTTTTGCTGCGGAAAATTCGGATTTGTTTTGTTTTGGAAACATTCCGAAAAATCCGGTGCGTGAAAACGGCGTGGAGTCCCGATAAGTTACGCGCGACTTATCCGGTTCGGTTACGCGGAGTGGAGATCGTGCGGGCGCCCTGATCAAGCGACCTATCTCTATATAAACCGAGTCGCCGCCCTCACGCAACATACGCGAAATCAATCTAGGGTTTACCTCCTACTATGTGCTGCGCCGTCGCTCGTAGACTACTCCATCCCACTCGCCAGCGTGCACCGGCGATCGGGAGAGCAGGTCTTCGGAACCTCTGCCTTCGACGTCCTGCACCGGGAGAAGGCGGCAATAAGGTTTTTGGGAAGCGCTTAGCGCGACTGCTCCCTGTTCGTCCGCGACGGCTCGCCTTCCTCTCCGCTCGCGTGCTGCGCGCCTTCATCGACGCCCGCAACCGTGAGTAGTTCCTGCCGAGCAACCGGTCTTTCCGCCACCTCGGTACATGTTCGATATGTTACGCATATTTGATCTGTTCATGTTTTACTTCTTAGTTTACATGTGTAGATCTAATGATGCGTTCATGCTAGTTTACATCTGCAATGTCATGATTTATTTGTGGAATAAATTAAATCATTATGTGCTTATAATTTCAACAATCCAAAAACCTTATTATAGGCGCTGTGATTTTACCGTGGCTAGTTTTGCCGATGCACTGAGGCCGGATAAATTCACCGGTGTGCACTTTAAGAGATGGTAGATCAGGGTCACTCTGTGGCTGACAGCTATGAAATGCTTCTGGGTGAGTACTGGCAAACCTGAAGGAATTCTTACTGCTGATCAGCAGAAGCAATTCGAGGAAGCCACTACTCTCTTTGTGGGATGCATTCTTAGCGTTCTTGGCGAACGTCTGGTCGAGGTGTATATGCACATGACTGACGCTAAGGAGTTGTGGGATGCACTGAATACTAAATTCGTTGCTACTAATGCTAGCAATGATCTATACATCATGGAGCAGTTTCATGACTATAGGATAGCTGACAACCGTTCTATAGTCGAACAGGCTCATGAGATACAAACCATAGCTAAGGAACTCGAACTCCTTAAGTGTGTCTTACCCGACAAATTTGTGGCCGGGTGCATTATTGCGAAACTACCTCCATCTTCGAGAAGTTTCGGTACTGCACTCAAACACAAGAGACAGGAATACTCCGTTGAGGGGTTGGTAGCATCTCTTAATGTTGAGGAGAAAGCTCGGGAAAAGGACGCCGCGTCTAAGGGCGATGGTGGGCAGTCCAGTGCCAATGTTGTGCACAAGGCCTAGAACAAGAGCAAGGGGAAATACAAAGCTCAACAGAACACCAACTTCAAGAAGCAGAAGAAGAACAACAACAATCCTAATCAGGATGAGAGGACTTGCTTTGTGTGTGGCCAACCTGGTCATCTGGCTAGGAAGTATCCACAGCGCAAGGGTATGAAGGCACCTGCAGGGCAGACTTCTAAGTCTGCTAATGTGACCATTGGCAACACTGGAGATGGAAGCGGGTATAGTAATTTACCTACTGTTTTTTCAGTTAATCAATCTACTAATTGGTGGGTTGATACTGCGGCCAATGTACATGTTTGTGCTGACATCTCATTGTTTTCTTCTTATCAGGTCGCACGGAGTTCCACCGTCCTAATGGGGAATGGGTCACATGCTTCTGTTCATGGTGTTGGCACAGTAGATCTGAAGTTTACTTTGGGAAAGATCGTGCAGCTGAAGAACGTGCAGCATGTCCCTTCTATCGATAGGAATCTTGTTAGTGGCTCCCGTCTAACTAGAGACGGATTTAAGTTGGTTTTTGAGTCTAATAAAGTAGTCGTGTCTAAACATGGATATTTTATTGGTAAAGGTTATGAGTGCGGAGGCCTGTTCCGCTTTTCCCTTTCTGATTTCTGCAATAAGTCTGTCAACCATATTTGTGGCAGTGTGGATGATGACTAATGTTTGGCACTCACGTTTATGTCATATTAATTTTGGCTTGATGTCTCGGCTTTCCAACATGTGTTTAATTCCTAAGTTTTCCATTGTCAAAGGTTCTAAGTGCCATAGTTGTGTGCAATCAAAGCAACCTCGCAAGCCTCACAAGGCTGCCGATGAGAGAAACTTGGCACCACTAGAACTACTACATTCAGATCTTTGTGAAATGAATGGGGTGTTGATGAAGGGTGGAAAACGATATTTCATGATGTTGATTGATGATGCTACTAGATTTAGCTATGTGTACTTGTTTAAACGAAAGACGAGGCTCTAGACTATTTTAAAATTTATAAGGCAGAAGTTGAAAATCAACTTGACAGAAAGATAAAAAGACTTAGGTCTGATCGTGGTGGAGAGTTTTTCTCAAATGAGTTTGAATTATTCTGTGAGGAACATGGCATCATACATGAGAGGACGCCTCTCTATTCTCCCGAGACTAATGGGATTGCTGAAAAGAAGAACCGCACACTGACTGACTTGGTGAATGCCATGTTGGACACCGCGGGACTACCTAAGGCATGGTGGGGGGGGCATTGTTGACCTCGAATCATGTGTTAAACAGAGTTTCTAAAAAAAATAAGGACAAAATAACATATGAGATATGGATTGGGAGAAACCATCACTTTCTTATTTGCGCACATGAGGGTGATTGGCGAAAGTCAATGTACCAATAACGAAGAAGCGCAAACTGAGACCTAAAACTATGGACTGTGTCTTTCTGGGATATGCTCATCACAGCATTGCCTATAGATTTTTAATAGTTAAATCTGAGGTACCTGACATGCATGTTGGTACAATTATGGAGTCTCGTGATGCTACCTTCTTTAAGTGCTTTTTCCCAATGTAGGATACACACAGTAGTTCGAGCCAACCCTCTGAAATAATTCCCAGTTCAATCACACCACCAGAACAAACTGAACATACACATGAACATGTCACTAAGGAGGATGTCAGTGAAGCTCCTCGAAGGAGTAAGAGACAAAGGACGGCTAAGTCCTTTGGTGATAATTTCACTGTGTACCTTGTGGATGACACTCCTAAGTCAATTTCAAAAGCTTATGTATCTCCTGATGCAGACTACTGGAAGGAGGCTGTCCATAGTGAAATGGATTCCATTATCGCTAACGGGACTTGGGAGGTGACAGAGCAACCCTATGGGTGTAAACCTGTGGGGTGCAAGTGGGTGTTCAAGAAGAAGCTTAGGCCTGACGTTACTATTGAAAAGTACAAGGCTCGGCTTGTTGCTAAGGGCTATACTCAGAAAGAAGACGAAGATATCTTTGACACTTACTCACCTGTTACTAGATTTACTACAATTCGTGTGCTACTTTCTCTAGCAGCCTCACATGGTCTTCTCGTTCATCAAATGGACGTTAAGACAACTTTTCTTAATGGAGAGCTGGATGAGGAGATCTATATGGATCAACCTGATGGGTTTGTAGTTGAAGGTCAAGAAGGCAAAGTGTGCAAATTGTTGAAGTCTTTGTATGGTCTGAAACAAGCTCCTAAGCAATGGCATGAGAAATTTGACAAAACATTGACATCTGCAGTCTTTGCAGTCAATGAGGCAGATAAATGTGTGTACTATCGCCATGGTGGGGGTGATGGAGTTATTCTGTGCTTGTATGTTGATGACATACTGATATTTGGGCAAACCTTGAGGTGATAAATGAGGTTAAATCATTCTTGTCTCAAAATTTTGATATGAAGGATTTGGGAGTAGCTGATGTTATCTTAAACATTAAGCTAATTAGAGGTGAGAATAGGATTACACTCTTGCAGTCCCATTATGTGGAGAAGATCTTGAATCACTTTGGCTACATTGATAGTAAGCCTTCTCCAACACCTTATGATCCTAGCTTGTTGCTTCGCAAGAACAAGAGAATTGCTACGAATCAACTGGAATACTCCCAAATCATTGGCTCGCTGATGTACCTGGCTAGTGCAACTAGGCCAGATATCTCCTTTGTTGTGAGCAAGTTGAGCCGGTTTACCTCTAATCCAGGCGATGATCACTGGCGTGCGCTTAAGCGAGTAATGCGCTGTCTGAAAGGTACTATGGAATTGGGGCTTCACTATACTGTGTATCCTGCGGTACTGGAGGGTTATAGTGATTCTAACTGGATCTCTGATGTGGATGAGATTGTTAACAACCAAATTTGGTTATATCAGTATCGGAGATGAGGATAAGAACGAAGCAGAATCAAAGGTGGAGATCGATTCGAGAATAGAGTAAGAATCGGTTGGAGTCCGGATCGGCTACGATCAAGATC